CAGGGTGTGACCAGAGTCAAGGAACGAATTAAATTCGTAAACCGAGGTTCCACTGTACTGAAAAATCTCTGAGTTACACTGAACACTCACCTTAAAAAAATTATTGGAATTGAACTGATTTGAATCCAATGGTATCAAGTACTTTGTTTAGGTTCAGGTTGGAAAAATGTAAATATTGGGAAAAGATGCAACAACATGTATTCCAACCATTACTTATATGAGGAAAGCACGTTTACAGGAAAGCATCCTGCGTGTATTGAACCATTCCCATGTGTCACAAAACAGACTTTCTTGAAGGTTTATTTCATGGTTTCTGCCATATGGAAATATTAATCCAGGATAGAAGAAAATCTATTTTTTTAAATGTACATTACAACCATTGTAGTTTTTACAGTTCCACTAGAGCGAATCTAAAACAAAAACTGATTTAAGACCAACATGTGGAAGTGATCTAAAAAAAAGGAATGTACAGTTTTCCAAATAAAGAGCATATAGAACAAAGTAGGTACAAAAAGCTGAAAAAAATTGGAAAATTGTTATCCAAACATTTCATCAATCTCACCCCCCACATTGCCTTCTGTGGAATGGGAGATGGAGGAGAATTTCTGCTAAGTTTCAAGCAGGTCTGTTCCTCTCTGCTCCTTTGAGTCAAAGACCCCACTCTTTCTTGACTTCCAACAAAATTGAGATTGGCAAATTCTCAGCATTTCTCATTGTGGGAAAGATTACTTGGGAAGGATCCACGGTCTTGTTTGAATCTCTGAGACATTATGCATCTGTAGGATTCAAATCAGCCTTCCTAATCTAGTCTAACACATCTGGAGTCTACCAGGTTGGAAAGACTAACTTAGTACTAACAAGAAACATCTGGCAAATCATGTCAGGCCAGAGACTGTATTCTATCACACTTACCACAGATATTAGCAAGGATTTTAACAGATGAGTTTCAAAGGCCCGCTTTTTGATTAAACAATGAGGAATGTACTTATTATCTTCCATATCGTCTTGCAACAGCACTTTAGCTCTTCTACTCTTTCCAGAAAAAAAGACAACTTTTCATATTGTTATCCAAAAGGCACAATGTTCAAAGACACATTTATACTGGGTAAAATGTTGACAGCTCAATGTCTTCGTTGTTTCTATGCCCACAGCCTCTTTAACAGCTCTATAAGTTTTCAAAAAGCAGCTTGTGCAGATAATGCTTATCAATGATGTATAACATTCCTTATGAGACTGTTGTGGAGGAAAAATTCAGAACTACTTTTCACTAGCAGCAGTTACTAAGTCAGCTTGTCAGCATTTAGCATTAGGGAAACTTCCCTTTACTTAAATCCTCCCATTTGCTAACTGAACACATTGAACCTTCATATATTCCATCCAATTCAGTCTGACTCAGTCTGGTACTCTCTGAATGGCCCACTTTGACCTGGAATGATGGAAGTACTCCCATCAGCCACCAAATACGTTTACCTGATTTCTTGATAATATGCAGTGCTGATCTTGGCATATCAGTATTTCTAACTTCTGAGAGAGTAAATTATCCTCATGCATAGTGAGTTTATTAATCTGCAAAGAAGTTTTCAAACCATCAAGTCATCATGCAGTAGTTGCAATCATTGCACAGATCATATATCTATTCAAATCCATCAATATAGTAAAAATATGTTATCATGTTCTGGTTTTTCTTTTCCAAATACAAACAACAGATCTAACTCTTGAAGGTTATATAATGAGACTGATATTCTTAAGGGAACTATTTTTATTTTGTTTTGTTGCTTTGGATGAAGAAGAAATGCTTAAGAACATTGTCTTAAAACTGCAAGAGTTGTCAGCGTTCACCATTGCAAGATAGGAGAGCTGCTGGATTTGAGCCTTGGCTCAGTTTGACTCAGTGTGAGAGAATGGCAGTTTTGCTCAAATTCCCTTATATTTACAGAAGCTGAAATCTCCTTTTTATTCTTAAAAACATCATCCAATAATCTTATTAACTGATTCCAATAAAAACTTTGCCCTGTGATAGTTGGCAAGTTTAGATTTGTTTAAAACAAATACAGTCCCCCGCCTTTATTATTAAAAAGATATTTACTTGCTCTACTGCTGAAGGTAAGTCCACTGGCACATACTCTGGGGAAGATAAGCAAAAACAAGCCACAGACCATTCTAGGAAAGTGCTTGAATCAGCTGTATAATGAATTAAAACACAAGGTTCACAGTTTAATAATGCAGCTGGTACTCTTCAGTTTTTTCATTTTTCACTCATATTTTGCCTTTTGAAGATACAGAGAAACACTGAAAAAAAGTCTCTGACTACATTTGTGTATACAATTGCAACGAAAATAGGGTTTTAAAATCTAGATCTGATAGAATATATGATTTACTAGAACTTTCTTCTGCAGCATCAAATAGTTCTTGTATTTTTTCCTCTTTCCCTCTCCTGTCCTCCAGAAACTTCTTTTTAAAAGTCTCTCTTTAAGTCTTAATTCACTGTCAGTAAAATGGGGTTCTGTAGCTTGCTTGGTTGAATAGTATGCTGCAACTGGAGGGCCTAATAGATACCCTGCTACTAGCAGTAGTATGTTACCTCTTTTTATTGAGGTAGCACTATTGCAGAATTACTCTTCAGAAGGGTTAGCTTGATTTCCTCTCAGTTGCGTTTTAGGCAGACAGTGATGACTGTTCTGTACCACTGGGCTTTTAATCATTTTTTAATATTTTATATTGCATACTTTTACTGTATTGAATGTATTTATTCCCTGCCATACTGGCTGAAGTTGAAGAAGTTGTATTCCAGCATATCAGAAGACACAACACTGGGGGCAGCTAGTGAGTTTTGACTGGCAGTGTCTGTCCAAGGAGTCTTTTGAATTAAATATTCTTGGACTTTTTATTTGGAGATGGCAAGACTGAGCACCAGATCCTTTGTTTACAAAGCCCATGTATAATATCAATCAGCTGCTGATTGATAGATTACATATGGGGGAAACAATGCAATGTTTAGATTATGTTTTAATTTACATTTAGTAGTTAAGCTGAATTGTTCCCCATTTTTATTAACACTAGATCTTGTATATTTTTTTCTTCAGCTGGTCAGTAATACTGTATATATTGTGATGGGTTGAATAATAAATGTGCATTGGAATGTTGATTGACAGTTGTGCATGTTTGTGCTTGTTTAGTGCTTTTTTATTAAAAAGATCTAACAAACTTAATTTTTAAACTCATTTAACAGATACGGAAAACGATCCAGCCCAGAGACACTGATCTCCGATCTTTTGTTGCGAGAAAGTACAGAAAACATTCCTAGATCTAGGTAAGTTATTCTTCTAACTTGCTTAGAACTTTATTTAGACTGTCCATATTTAATTTAAAGCCCAAGTTCTGCATGGACATATCTAGGATTGCATCAGATCTAGAATGCTAATGAGTTCTGTAGTTTGAAGGTTGCCAGATATTAATTGGTATCTCAAAAGGAAGAAAAAAGGGAACTGCTATCTCACTCTGTGGTGATTCCAGGTATGAATGTTGTGTTGTACTATAAACATACTGAGTCTAACATGAATAACAGGGTTCTCATTTATTGGCACTTTCTCCTCTTATTCTTTTTCTCTCTTAGTCCTTCTGAAAAACAAAATCTCTGAAACTAATTTTAGCTGCATAATTATTCATATAACACTTCTATTAGACATGGTGAGCTCCCACCAAAGTTAAACATTGCTCAGTCACTTTTATTACAAAAACAGACAGATAAATATATATTTAACAATTCAGTTACAATAATTAAAATAGATTGTCTGGATCACATCAGTTAAACACTTTTTTTTTAATGTTGCCTTTCTCCAGTTCTCACATCCCTCCCTGCTTATGTTTTAGTGGATTGTTAATATTTTTTCTTATCCTGCTTTAGCATGCATTTTTATAATTATTGTAAATTAAATACATAAGGCCAGACTCATCAAAAAATGACTTGCTCCTCTTCCACTTTTTGTTAAAACTCTGAAATTTGTGGCCGACTATTTTGCATTTTTATAATTATTGTAAATTAAATACATAAGGCCAGACTCATCAAAAAATGACTTGCTCCTCTTCCACTTTTTGTTAAAACTCTGAAATTTGTGGCCGACTATTTTGCATTTTTATAATTATTGTAAATTAAATACATAAGGCCAGACTCATCAAAAAATGACTTGCTCCTCTTCCACTTTTTGTTAAAACTCTGAAATTTGTGGCCGACTATTTTAGCCAACACATATAGGCTGATGGAGAAATCTGTGATGTTGTTCATTACTCTAACTTGCTTGTATTCATGGATGTTCTTGGGGTCAAAGAGGAGACAAATGACAATGTATGTGTTATGACACAATGAGATAGGCTACATACTTTCATTAGATGTGATTTTATAATTGTACCATTTGTACAATGACTTCATAATGCATGTGTTGTCGTTCTGATGTTATCATGGCTTGTTGTGGATACTGTTACTTATATTACTACCTGGAAAGAGTTGTTTCAGTTGTTAAGCAAAGGAAAAGTGGATATCATCTCTTGTTCAGAGAAGCTTTAATCTTATATTTTCATCCCTGCCTGAACTATGATGTCTTGATGCTGCAAAGATGATTCCAGGCCAGCTTAGATTCAAATGAAGTTCAGGAAACTGAACAGACTTGCCCTCATGAAATCCAGAGTCTGAGGTTTTATAATTATTTCTAAATGAATATGGGCGCGGGAGATAAATGTCAGTGGTTTGTGGTAAAAATATGAATTTCCAAGATGACTGTAATGAATGTTGGCAGCTAAACATTAGTTTGTATCATTCTGCAGTTATTCTTACTGAATACTCCCCCAATTTCTCTATCTCTCCTGCAAGGGGAGAGATTCATGTAAATCAGGGGTGGGGTGAGGACTGCCTGTCTATTATGGGATGCCTTTGCATAGAGACAAAGAAGAAAAAACAGAAAATGGGTATGTCCCAGAATAAAAGCCACATTTACTTATTATGTGTTTTTATAGATACTGAGGCAAATGGCTGTTTCCAATAATCCCCCCATATCAGTTGCTTGACCTATGTAATCATAGAGAGATGAGAAAAATGTTCCCCTCTCCATTCTATCTGAAATTATGGGAAAGATTTGTAGAAAGACTATAACCATGCTCAGTTAAATGTGGCAACAAGATTCTGCTCTATCACAGTCACAAAGTTTTCCCATTGCATGGAGAACTATATAACCTTATTCAGCTGAACAAGGCAGCTACCTCTTCTTTGGATTTTCACCATCAGCACAAAGAAGTAAGAGCTGGAGTATGTGTTATATATATTTCCTATGCTTACAATTCTAATTAATAGGAGGGTCTTGATTCAGCTCCCTTTTCAAGTGCATTTTCCCATTCTTTTGTATGGATAGAATGTTATTTCCCTTTAAAACATGAAGGAGCAAAGTGTAGCTCAAAACCCACATTGTTGAGCCCCTTGATGTGGCCTTTGGAGCTACTCTGATCAAGCGTATTAAGAAGTGATGGCACAATCCCTCATCGGTTTGAAATAAGGGACAGTTGAAAACATACATAAATGAAAACTGATAAATGCTTTGCCTCGTTCATCTTTCCTAACTTAGTATCCTTCACATAATTTGGGACTATAACTCCCAGAATATTGAGATGGTGTAGCTATTCTGGTTCAGAATTCTAAGATCTGAAGTTCCAATATATCTGGAGGGCACAAAAACTGAGGAAGCATATCATGCAATATAACCCAAAAGTCTAACATCTATCTCACAGAAAATGTTCAAACTGCTGTGTAACCTCTTTGCACGTATTGTTTGTACAATCTATCACCCACTGCATATGGATATAATTTATAAGCTGCATGACACTAAACTCCCTTCATACGATGAATCATGTTGCATCAAGAATAAGGAATCCATGTTCTTCCCCATTTCCCTGGCCATCATCCATGCTGGCTGAGGCTGGTGGAACTGCAATCCAGCAACATTTGTCACGCTAAAATTTCTCCACTTTTAATTTATGCACTCAGACTAAATATAAAGTAACTTGCATGAATAAGCTCCCCTGAGTAAACTAACTGATATTTATTCTAGAGTAAGGAACAGTAGAAAAGCATTAAATTAAAAAAAATTAAAATTAAAAGTATTAAAAATATGTCTGAAATAATTCAATACTTTTACTTAATCAACTGTTGCTTCTGTATGACTAAATAATGTGATGTTTTAAATTGAAACATATTTCATTATATTGTTAAGATAATGGTCCAGCATCCAAGGAAGAAAGAGAAATAAGTTCTTCTCATTAATACATGGTTAACAGTTCAATTGCTTGATAAGTTTAAACTTGGCTATCTTCTTCAGTGGCATACCAGTAATGACAAGAAATACAAATTCAGAATTTGCTGAGTTTTAAAAGAAAAATACTAATTTTCCCTTACTTCATATGTCAATTTTAATTCAAATTCATTATGTAAAATATTGTAAATTCAACTGTATTATGATAGCTCATTGCCTATGTCTCTTTCAAAAATCTGTGATTATATAATTGTTCATCTTTAATTTTCTTGCAGAGATATTTGAATCTTTTCCCACTTTTTTTCATGATGTGCTGCAGGTATGAAGATCCTGCAATGTGGTGATGGGAGTCACAGCCGACCTTCAGTCTTTTTTTCCTAGTTTTCACTCCATGTGCCATTGGTAGAAGACCAGTTGGAGGTCCACCCACCAGTGCATGCAGCCATTGTACTGAAATCTGTAGGTTCCCCCCCCACCTTCATTATCCTTGTACATACGTTTATTTAAATAAATTACTTGTGTACTCTAAATGGTAACATTTTAATGCAAGAGGGTCACTATAATGAGCAGAATTTTTTTAAGCTATTAAAATTTAATTTACAACTTCCTTACTGTCTAAAATAGCATGTATAATAACTGTAGCACCCACCCTAATAGTTGTATAAAAAGTAGCATTAATTTTACACCTTATTTGGTTCAGGGGCTCACTTTTAACAATTGATTTCTACAACATTATTTATTTCATAACTATTGTTGCCCATGACACAATTGAAAAAAAAAATAAAATTATGTGGAAAGTGCATATTTCTCTAATCAGTGTACAGAATATTATTTATTGTCTTGACAAACCTATATACTATTTATATCATTTTTATGGGAAAGAAAGAATCTACTGGATTCCAGTAGAATATCCCAACTAATGAAGAAATGTATACGAACACCCTTGCTAATTTGTGTGTTTTAAGATTATCCCCAGAGGGGGAAAAGGGAATGTTTTTAAGAAAACAGAAATAACTGATTTACAAAGGTTGAACATTACTGCAGAATCTGTAGCTTATTAAACAGACCTTGGCCTGTCACCAATAGGCCCAAGCTTTGGGGTCCCATGGGAGGGCATCTCTCCAATGCTACTGGTGGCTGAGAAGAGCCCATCAGCTTCCTTGCCAACCAAGGTTGCCCCTGTTATGATCAGAATCATGGTATAGTGGCTGGTTGCTCTAATGTGTTGGGTTCACACATAGAGCTAAGCTATGGCTTTTCAAATTATGGTTTAGTGAATAAATCACCATTGGCTAGTATCATATAACCGATTAAGTCAAAACCAAATAAATCACATTATTCCATTTGCATGTTCTGAATGAGGCCAGTGACTTTAATCTTTTCCCTGTTCTCCCCAGATGTATTTATCTACATCTGGAATCTGTTGAGGGCAAGGCAATGTTTTGTTGTCCAGGGATTGCAACTCATTCTTCAGTCCAGCTGGAGGGAGACAAGATACTTTCTGATGACCTAATGATACAATTGGAAGGGAAAGAACTGATTCCTTTCAGCCTTGTTCTCCCCTTTGAAGAGTTTTAAGGGTAGGAATGAGCCTTTGGTCCTCAAATTACTTCCCTCCCCCCCACAAATTATGCCACCATAATAATTATGGAAGCAGAGCCAGCATGGTTGGGCTCTGTTCTGCAATGAATGATTGTCACATCACATTCTCCAAAAGGTAATTTCTGATACTTATATTGGGCACTGTATCCTGAGGAATTTCTGTTTCCATAATAAGTTTTTTTGGGGGGGAGGGTGCCTTCAAGTCAGTGTTGACTCCTGGCGACTGCCTGGACAAGTCCCTGCAGTTTTCTTGGCAATGTTTTTTGGAAGTGGTTTGCCATTGCCTCCTTCCCAGGGCTGAGAGTGAGTGACTGGCCAAGATCACTCAGCTGGCTTTGTGCCTAAGGCGGGACTAGAACTGAGTCTTCCAGTTTCCAGCCTGATGCCTTAACCACTACACCACACTGGCTCTCTCCATCCATAGTATGTACTGGGCCAAAATATGTAAAATGAATACATTTGCCCACCAGCTGCTATATTCATGATAAGGCTGCTTTCTTTGGAGCAGAGTTGGGCCTAGTCATTACTTGGATGGAAGACCATCAGGAAATCCTAGGGCTGTAGACTAACCTGGGGAATAAAAAGCATCACAGAAAAAGGAAATGGCAAGTCCCTTTGTCATGCAAGCTCTCCTCATATAATGGCAGCGTTTATTTGGATAGCTTAGCCAGTTACATATTCAGTTACAATGGAATGACTGCTTTTCACTCAGGAAATTTAGAAAAGAAGGTCTGTATTTGAAAGGCTGCAATGGCAGATACCTAATAATGGAGCCCTGATGTGAATAATTTAATTTCCACGGCTCTACTTCTTTCTTATAAGAAGAATGGGAAGTAATCTTCAAGATGGCTGCACCACTGCTGGCAAGACCCATAGAGATTGATGCTTAATTCTAGCTTAATTAGGCAGAATGCCAGAAATGTCTCAAATATTGCAATGGAAGTTTCTTTCTTTTTTTAAAAGGGCATGATTTTTTACCCTTTCTCATTGTGATAAAGTAGAGACAGGAAAATTTAGGACATTTTCCTTATGCATTAAAGTTCACAACCCCAAGCAAGACTAGCTTAAATATAGCAGCTACTTTCATGCAGTGTGATAAGCCATAGTTTGTTTAACAATGATTTGTAAATAAACCACACCCTCTGGGATCACAGATAACTTTAATCCATAAAACCATAGTTTGTAAATCATTATGGCTGGATCCATGTAGCACGCTGACCAAGATCAATAACTACCTTATTACAATGTGCGAATGCAGTCACCTTCTGCCTCCAACAACGCGCAGAGATAGAAAGGGGTAACGGTCTTTTCATGGATTTGAGGCAAACCATGGAGCGTAGCCCAGCAAAAAAACGGAGCATTGCCCCAGTTCTCTGCACGATGAGAAAGTGCCCCCTCCCAGAGTGAAGACAACGGGAGGATATTGTGCTTTGTCTTTGTACAGCAAAGGTTGGTTGCTTAAATGGTCCCATACATCAAACCCTTTCAAGTTAAAAAAAAATATGCTTGAGCAGCAGCAGCAGATGAAGAATAATGAGCCCATGCTCATTACTTATTTTCAGTGTCTTTAGGACAGCCTGGCAACACCCGTTTTGCCCCCGTAGCAAAGATACTAGACTTGTCCATTCCTCAGGTGTCCTTTATGCAGCTCCTTTCTGTACTGCAAAATTACCAAGAGCTGCAAAACATATAGATAGCTAAAAGAATCAGGACAATGCAATACAGTACAGGTAGTCCTTGTTTAATGACCACTCATTCAGCGACTGTTCAAAGTTATGACGGCGCTGTACAAGGAGACTTACAACCTGTACTCATAGTTGAGGCCGTTGCAGCATCCCTGCGGTCATGTGACTGCAATTTGGGCACTTGGCAACTGGCACACAATTAAGATGGTAACTTGATTGCCATTTGCAACCTTTCCTGCTGGCTTCTGACAAGCAAAGGCAATGGGGAAGCGAGCAGCAGGTCACAAATGGTGATCGTGTGACATTGTGCCTAATGACCACTTGGAATTTGCTTAATGATGGCAACCAGAACTGCTATTGTAAGTTGGTGCAATCATGTGATGTCACACTTTATGACCTCATTGCTTAGCAACGGAGTTGCCAGTCCCAATTATCATAGTTAATAGACATATGTAGGAACCTGTTTTGTTGATGCCCAGTGATGCAAATTACTCTGCTTTGAATGGCTGGATTAACTGACATTAAACATTCAGCTTAAAGATGTCATTATGCTTAATTTCTGGAAATGCAAATATAAACAAGATTACCATAGGAGTTCATGAATGCATGACCAACTCCAAACTCACATGTTTCTTCCTTAATCACCCTGATCTCATGAAACTAATATTCCAAAACAGCATGTGTTGAGACAACTTTAATTTAATGGGTGTGTGTTATCACTGTAACCATATGCTAAAATTTAGTTAAACATTAATGATAGAAAATAATTCCAAGCAGACCACTTGGAATAATAAAGGTATAGTTATTGCCTCTACCATTCAATAAGAGTCATTAATTTTGCCATGAGTTAGTACATCAGGGCTTTCCCATTATCACACTGCTTTTCATCATTTCCCAAGCTTTAGGCAGGCTCCCAAATTAACTGGTATATGGCAAAAAAAAAAAAATCCTATTATTCACAGTATATTAATCGTCATGGGCAGGCCATGGCTCTTCTTTTCAGACTGAGAACATCTCTCAACTCAAGGGGTGACATCAGTCAGAAATGATGAGTCATTCTTCTGGATTTACACTTGGCTGGGCGTTCTCATCTTTTATTTGCTATCTTGCCTAGACTCCAAACCAAATGTGGGAAATGAGAGAAACTTATGATTAAGGTTCTTGCACAAGCTGTGTGTTTGCTGCAGTGTGAACTTAATATAAATCTGCATTGAAATGAAGAATTGTATTTAGAATGGCATAAAACTCCAGCTGAGATGGTGCTGCCTTATCTGGCTAGTCCAGAAGTGCTATTAACATTTCTTCCCATGCCAGTAAAGGCTTGTTTTGCCATAGTGCCTCTACTCTCAGAATGGTTGAATTTCCCCTTTTTCAGAGCGGTCACAACATCACATATGGATTTTAAGTTTCATATTTTGTTAAGTATCAGCTGGGGAGAGTTATTAACTGGAAACTATTTCTAAAAGTGCTGACATGATTGTCCTTTTTCATACAGATAATTGTTTAAACATATTCTCCTCTTCCAGTGGCCCTCATCACATTACCCAGCTTGGAGGACCATTCCAGCTGTCCTGATTGGGATATACTGTGCCTCCCAGACTCCATACTAGGAGTGAATCTTTTTCCATTAGGGTTCTCGACTGCAGGAACCCTCTTCATACTCTCATTCTGGAGTGGGGGCTTCCTTCAATATCTGTTTCTCTCCCAGGGAGTAGCAATCTTCTGTATTGTATTGTATTGTATTGTATTGTATTGTATTGTATTGTATTGTATTGTATTGTATTGTAGTTATTGATCAAATGTATTTATTTATCAAATTTATACACCACCCATCTCACTGTATAATATAATTGTGTTGCATTAATGACCAACAGTGACTCTAGAGTGCTGTTAGCCCTACAGCACTCATCTTGTGGATTGCTATCTTCTTCAGGTTTTATGGTGCCAGGTCCAGTATAGTCTGCACTCTGGTCTCCCTCTTCCAACACCTGAATTTCACAGGGACTCTTCCTAATCCTCACTACTCTGTCCCTCCCTCCCTTCCTTCTGGCTGCCTGGTCTCCAAAGGTGACTACCATGCTGGTGATTCTACCACTATCCAGCGGTGAACCACCCAATCTTCTTTTTTCACCTCTATTTACTTAATCTCTCCTGAAAATGTATTTTGTTATAAATATTATGGACTCTATCTGAAGTCAATAACCTGACAAGGGCTTGAGAGAAGGGAAGGGGAAATAAACAGCAAACAGCACCAGAAAGCAAACAAAGAACAAAGCAATCTCAGGAATATGGTCTTGGATGTATGAAGACAAGTAAGTTTGAAACCAGAGCAGTCCAGAAGACAGCTACTAGGTGAAAATTGCATCAAGCAATATCAAGCAAGACTTGTTTAGGTGGGCAACGACAGCAATAACCAATGAGGTGGAAAGGAGAAGGGCTGCTTTAAAAAAGAGAACCAGATACAAAGCTGGTTGGGGAAAACAACATGTGTACATGCAGTATCTGAAGC